ATGGTCCTTTCTAGCTAATCAAAACAAGAAAGTCGTCGCTCGCTCGGATCGCTTTTTGCCCGCAATTTGCCATGATATTTTTTCTGAAATATTTGTAATCTCCTATTCCAATTATTGCATTATAATAAAAAATTTTCCGAATTATTTGCTACTTAAACTGCTAAAACCATAACTTGTGGTCTATAGGCGACAGAATTGATCAAATTAGTTTGAGATTTTTCACATATTAATTTTAGTAATTTTAGAATTTTAGAAAATCTTGCAAAGTAAAACTCAACCCTTAACCCTGATTTTTTTTCGTCTCTCCCTAGTTTTTGCAGTAATGTTTTCGCGACAAGAAACTCCTTTCTGTGACTCACTAAGTTGTATTAAGCTGTATTGTTTCGCTCAACACTGTCTGTTTTTTGATAACGATGTGCTAAATGGAAAGATTAGCGTTTTTCAGTCATTTTTTCATTTTTCTTAACCCAACATCGAACGCCTAAAATTGACATTCATATCAACAATGATCTACGTTGTGGTGGCTTTATCGGGTTTATTTCGACTTGTTATTTCCGAGGATCGAATGGTCATTTTAACAACCGATTTTCCCTCCTACTCTGAGCACAGTCACGATTTCCGCGAGACTATGGTGAACTTATAAAAAGGGCTGTCGAGTAGTCGGGCTGTCGAGTAGTCGGGCTGTCGAGTAGTCGGGCTGTCGAGTAGTCGGGCTGTCGAGTAGTCGGGCTGTCGAGTAGTCGGGCTGTCGAGTAGTCAGGCTGTCGCTATAAAAAATGAATACAAGATACATTTGGGAACCTAAAAATGAATAAAGATCCCAGATTAAAAATTTTGAAAGTCCACGAATTTTGGTTATTTGATTGCTTTGACAAGTGCTCACAATTTAACTAGTCATATTTGATTAGAACTCTAGTTGCCACCTTTAGCAATTGACCGTTCACGCAAGCGATTGTGCCGGGAACTGTTCATTTCTCGTCTCGGTCGGCATCCACACAAGCACCGACACGACCAATCAAGGCTCATGCCAGTGCAACGATCAATTCATCTTCCCGCTCTACATCGATGACGAAGAGCAGCATCCCGACCGCCGTCGCGGGCTAAAGTTTGCTTCCATTTACTAGAGCATTCGATTGCAAACCGTTTTTTTCTTCTTCAGAACATCAGAACTTGATAAGTCAAAAAAATTCACGGATATGAATATACTGAGCCCCTTGCGAGTGTTTCGGAGAAATTCAGTAGTCGAGAGTAGAGTGTGTTTCTCACGTGAATGTCTTTTTTTAAAACGCACGCTTGGGAAAAATTACCGTACTTTTAGCGAGAATTGTTGCAAAAAAATTGCGGCCAGAAAATCGCGAGTGGCGACTTACAGTAGCGCTCAACATGATTTAGATGGTGGTAGACGGTGGTATTTTTTTTCTTTGTCAGCTATCAACTTGCGCTCAAAACTAAGGTTGTACCTTGATAGGTTTCCGATGTTATGAGTGTAAGTCGATATCTCAAAAGAGAAAAAAACCACCATCTAACACGGTCTAAGATCTTTAATTTACTAATACGAGGATTCTTCGTAGTTACTCGATCAAAAAGCGTCGATTAATCAAGTAAAAATTAGTCATTTGACTCGAGTAATTACTTACACACAAGGAACACACTCTAGTGGCAACAGCCCGATGCCGTACTGCTACTACATGGTGAAGGTTGTGAGAAAGAATGCAACAATCCGGTTGACGCTTCCCGTTGAGCATTGTGATTGCCTCTTCGCCTACTCGGTTCTTCGAAACGACGTCGTCATGTGTGAGTGTCGGAAACTGGGATCTATTGGGTTGGGGAGAATGAGTCGGCGCCAAACTTTAAAGGGACTTTTTGCACACATAAAGCCTTCTTTAAACATACGTTTGGTTTCATCAAAACGATCCACTATTTCTCTACAAAATGACTTTTGAGAGATTCCACAAAGCTTTTCTTTCGTGGAGTTTATGAACTTCCAAACGCAGCTGGTTAAAATGGCAAAGAGTCCGACTCATCATTTGAACAGTTTCTTTCACATAAACCTTCTTTGGTGTTTATATAAAAAAGATAGAGTACATTCAATTACTTAAGTTGCCAAATTTGCAGGAAGATCCCACCAATGGTTTTTTCTAGATCACAGTTTGTAGTTTTTGTGAAAAAATGGCTTTTTCTTGAGCGGAGACGCTGTTTGAATTTTCTTTTAAATGTCATTTTGTAGAGAATTAGTTAACCATTCTACTCATATCAAACGCATATTATTTGACGAAGTCGAATAGAAGTTTTAGACATTTTTTTCATTTTCGGCGCCGACTCATTCTCCCCAACCCAATAGAAAGAAGGAGGTAACATGTATGAAGCTTGTCATCAAAATACTCCAAATATCGGGACAAATTCCAGATGACAATGCGCCGGTTGTCGGTGTGGAGGACTTCTCCGGCTTCGAGCTCAAATATGCGATAATCTATTGGGGTTGGAGTACGACCTATGGCCGCTATTTAACCCTCGTTGCTCCCCGTGGGAAGTACATCTACACACCCGAACTTTACATCGTGAGCGTTTGACTCTGAGCCAAACCCTAATCTGATCTGCCGTTCTGTTAGTGCTTTTAGAAATCTTCAATTTCTAGGGTAACGGCACAATCGATCAGTGTCGCTACGATGCATTTGCTGGCCCGATCCCATCACCAGACAAACGGGATCAACGCAAAGTTTTCGATGTACCAAGGTTTGCATAGCATAGTTGATGCTACGGTATTAAGGATTCAGGCCCAAAAAAACTCTTAAACTCCAAAAATCTTCGACATGGATAGGGACAACGTAACAGCCGAAAAACGAAAATTGCCTAGGTGCAGAAACATACGCTACCCCCCCACATCCGCGTGAAATAAAGCAAAAAATCGTTTTCTAGACGATACACATGTTTGAGTATCCATTTGACGCAGAAAAATGTCCTGAATGCAATGGTGGAAAAAATTATCAAAATCCATCTTGTGGATTTTTGAAATCACATTTTATTAAAAAAAAATCGATCATTTTACACAGAGACGGCCGAACTCATCTGTATTTGGCCCTCCACTTTCTGCGCGCTAAAACGTGGATAATACCGTAACCCTTTCTATGGCGAAGAACACAACTATATAAAGAGCGCTTGCAAAGAATTTTTTCAATTCGTTTTTTTTCTTTTTACGGGCTTATTTTCTTTTTTGATGTCATAATAATTGTTTCTATTTTCAGATACCCCATTAATGACCGGATTGCACGGCCCTCTGTTTCCATAGCTTGAAAAATGCAATTACCCAAAGCAAGTTTAAGGTGTAACACAGGAGGAATACAGCACAATGCACGATATATCGGCGAAATGTATCGACGAAAGACGCCCAACTTCTCTTCAGGTTTGGCAGATTTTCTTTGCAGAATTTCATCAAAGTGTTTGATTGTTCGAGCAGAATATTTCTGTCTATCAAAACTCGTGGTAACTTTTGCTGGATTTAGGGATTTGTCCACTTTGTATGTACACCAGATGCATGGGTAAGTTGACGCATTGGAAATACCAAATGATGATGCAAGAAAGTTGAGATCGCCTCCCAAAAATATCTGCCTGGTGAGTGGTGCGAGCTTGTCGACAATACTGCTATATTTTAGCAGATTTTGATGATCATCTCCTCCTTTCCAAACGGCAATAATCAGGTGGTTATAACACGATTGAGGATTGTTTTTCTTGTCAGGTAGCATAAGCGTTAACTTTGTGCTGTCAAGCCCCTTATCGCCCATTATAATCAACCGTTTTGTTTCAGAATCGGTCAGCTTGCCCAATCGATATTGTACTGCTGCATGAAGATCTTTCAATACAATGGCGTTGCCCCTGAGATCTCATAACCGACGTGTTTTGCTGAAGCTTTTCGGATCCTGTCGATTTGATACTCGCTGGCAAAAAGCGACGTGGCACGGCTATAAATTCTGTGGGCATCACGAGTAATTTTAGATTTCGACATCAAAGCCAACGTTTGAAGAGGAGAAAGAAGAGATGCACCACCAGTTGAACGTTTATGTTGTCTTTTTAGGCAGCGACAATAAATTTTTCGGGCTAAACGAAGCTTCTGCAACAGTTCAACACGTTTGCGCTTTTTGATCTTACTTACCTCCTTTCTTCTTGCTCTCATCCTTTCCATTTTCAATTCGTTTAAAACCTTCATCCGTTGCGTCTCTCTTTTGTCTTCAAGAATTTGCTTCCCCATTTTGCTGCGTTTCTTTGGTCTACTCATTTTTGGGTATCTGAAAATAGAAACAATTATTATGACATCAAAAAAGAAAATAAGCCCGTAAAAAGAAAAAAACGAATTGAAAAAATTCTTTGCAAGCGCTCCTTATATAGTTGTGTTCTTCGCCATAGAAAGGGTTACGGTATTATCCACGTTTTAGCGCGCAGAAAGTCGTAAAACGTCATTTTTGTCTTCAAACTGTTATAACTTTTTTGTGAGTTGACCAATTCATACGATTTTCGTCTCAAAATGACCCCAGATAACAATTGCACAAAGTCTACTCCCTGGCATTTCCTAATTTTCTGTTATCACTGAGTAGTGGAGGGCCAAATACAGAGGAGTTCGGCCGTCTCTATGTAAAATGATCATTTTTTTGATAAAATGCGATTTCAAAAAATCCACAAAACGGATTTTGATAATTTTTTTTCCACCATTGCATTCAGAACATTTTTCAGCGTCGAATGGATACTCAAACATGTGGATCGTATAGAAACCGCAATTTCGCGCGGATGTGGGGGGCATTCGATTTTCGATTATTTTTCGTTATTTTTGGTTATAAGGGTTATTTTTGTCCTGAATCTAACTACGTTTTCAGTTTTTTTGCCACTGGCACGGGAACCGCAGAAAATTGAAATTTAGAGGCTGGCGTATGGTTCTGCACCACACTGTGTATGCCAAACCTTGTATTCAATCGTTCAGATATGACGATTTGGCCGTAAACCTTCTTTGGAGAATGTCGACGGTGACCTTCTGTTTGCACGGTGGCACTTGTTTCGGGACGCTCACCTATCAACAAAAAGAGGGAAACGACGAGAGACAAAATGAGATCGTTGCAGCGCCGGCGATCTTCGGTGATATGAGTGCGGACTATCCGGAACACTCGGCTGAAATAATCAACAGGACCTACACGTTGACTGGTCAGTTATGTGGAGTGCCTTGGGGCATTACATTCAGACAAAACACGAGTTAAGGTGTAAGGTTTACGAATAGAGGGTGTCTCATAATTCTGGCGTCAAGGATTTAACAAATCCAATGTTAAGGCTGGTAAATGGTTGAAAAAATAGTCAAACAACTTATAGTACAACAATTTTTTTGAACAGTGCTGACTAAGAATTTATAAAATATGTCTGACTGCTGACTGCTTTTTAGATGATCTCCCCGATGCCCCTCAACTGATGATCGAGATTCGGGATCTTGAAGGTGGAATTCTCAGCATTCGCCTCAATGACAGCAACAGTGAACAAGGGAAAGAGTTTGAGTGAGTGCATTTACAGCGGTCAAACATGATTTTTGTTCTCTTTTAGGATCACTGAAAATGGCCCATTTCTTTGGTGTCTTCAAGCCGACGAGTTGATGGTAAGAGTTGACGGGGAGTGTTCTATTTGGAAAAGACCAAAGAGCAAAAGCTAAGACACACTGTACGTGAGTTGCCGTAGCAATCGTCAACTTGTTTCAATTGTTACCCTTTACTATGCAAAATAGTGGCTTGATGAAAAACAGTGAAACAGTGAAAAACAGATGAAAGACGTGTTGTGCCTTTAATTCTTGAGAAAACAAGTGCATTTGTTCTGAGATCTGTCAATTCTGAGATCTGTCTGTTCTGAGGTCTGTCAGTTCTGAGATCTCACAAGGTAGTTGACCTTTGATGTGAAGGCAACAATCTCTACGCGATTTAACTCGAACGGGTATCGAAGTTGCCGCCTAACAGCTGTTCCCTTTCGAGAGAAGCACGCAAGCCACAGCCGTTAAATTACAGTAGTTTTTCCCTTCGAAGCGCGTTTTAGAAAGCGATTACTCGGAAGGACCCTAGAAAAAATGAGGGTGGAAGACTCGGAGAAAAGGCTCTCAAACTACTCCCTGAAATCATTTAGAATTTCAAGTTTTGAGTTATTCAGGGTTACGCTCCTTGCCCAAAATAGACCCTGATTATGAATCCTTTTATTTTTTCTTCAGCACACATGGACTCCGACATCAATAAATTCGAGTCGATTCTCGGTTTTCTATCGGCTCACCTCATTCAATGTCTCTTTGCCGGAATGTTTCATCGAACCGACAAGGCCCGTTGAGGAGATCGAAGAGACGAGAAAGTCCTTTAAACTCTTCTACATCTTCATTCCAATCGCAATTGTCGTCTTCCTTTCCCAACTCCTTTTTTACACCTACCGGCTCTGCAAGTTTGTCTCTGTTTTTTTCAAATTTTCAATGAAATTCAGGGAAAAGCAAGGTTCCCAGATCGAATACATCAAGTGAGGAATTACAACAACTTTGCTATTGGGTTGGGGAGAATGAGTCGGCGCCGAAAATCAAAGAAATTTCTAAAACTTATAGCAGACTTTGTCAAATGATATGCGTTTGATATCCGTAGAAGGGTAACTAATTCTCTACAAAATAATATTTAAAAGAGAACTCAAACAGGGCCTCAACTCAACAAAGGATCATTTTTTCACAAAATCGATAAACTGTCATCTAGAGTAAACGGTTGGAGGGATCTTCCTGAAAATTTGGTAACTTATGTAATTGAGTGTGCTCTATCTTTTTTATATAAACACCAAAGGAGGTTTATGTGGAAGAAACTGTTCAAGCAATGAGTCGGACTTTTTGTCATTTTGATTAGCTGTGTTTGGGAATCCATAAAATCCCAAAAAAAAAAAGCTTTGTGGAATCTCTCAAAAGCCATTTTGTAAAGAAATAGTGGACCATTTTGATGAAACAAAACGTGTATTTAAAGAAGGTTTTATGGGTGCAAAAAGTTTCTTTAAATTTCGGCGCCGACTCATTCTCCCCAACCCAATATTAAAGCCTTCATTGCTGCACATGAAGGCATGAGCCCAGCTTTGCTGTTTGTGTAATCATGCATGGCAGATGATGTACAATTTCAACTTTTTCACCAGTATTCAGAAGCCTTGACCCATGGGAGATCGATTCGCTGCAATTGACGATTTCGAATCGAATCGGTCGAGGAGGTTTCTCCGATGTGTACTACGGAGAGTACCGTGGAACGCTGCCGTGTCTACTCGCGAATCGCGATTTAGAGGCTTGTTGAATAGAGCAAAACATTTTGACATTTTTTTCTTTTAATCAATTTAAAACACTGTACACCTAGGATCTCAATCAAGGTCGAGGCAGGTCAGTCTTACGCCTTTAAAGGCCAGCCTGATCAAGAACCCACCGGAATCACCGGAATCTAAATCAGAATCTAAATTTGCCTCCTCTTCTCTTTTCCACTTTTAAAGGCTGAAAGTAAATCTTTTAGAAGCACTTCTCATCCAATCAAACGTTCGTAAAGGTCGCTGTCAAAAAGCCGGCCACTCCACAGGATGTGTTCGTCTTTTAAATTTTAGTATTAGGTTGATGCAAAAGTCTTTTCGTTTTTTTCGTACTTCTGTTAAAAAGCAACAAATTCACCAATTAATCTATAGTTTGCTCTATAAAAAAAGTGTTTTTTTGTTGAATTTCCATCTTTTTAAATCAATTTCGGTTGACTTTCAAGCAAATTCGAGAGTGAAAAACGCCTTTTTCGTAAAAATCTATAAAAAACTCTACGGAAAAATTGGCTGAATGAATTTCTCTGAAATTTTGGCGAAATATCAAACTTTTTTTTCTCTATCTTTTATCTATTGACACGAAGATAGGTCTTCTTTAGCTAAGGTGTCTAAACCGCATCATCGAGTTAGCCCTTTTTGACTACCCGACTTCATACTCTCAAGAAAATCCAGGCATTAAATATTTTTAAACCCGTTTTAATGTTATTTTGCAGAAAAATAATTGGTTTTTCTAATGAAATCAACCGTAGTTTAATTGGTGCATTTGTTGGCTTGAAACGGCAGACGAAAAGGAACGAAAAGACTTATGCATCAACCTAATAGAATAAGAAAAGAGTAGCAGAATAAGGAGAAGATGCTAAGGGGAGTGATAGTATATTTTTCTTTACATACGGTCGATAATCTATCAAGTTTTTCAAACTCTTTTATTCCACCAGATACAGCTTTGACTGTGATAGGACCTAGCATTCAAAAGTGACACGAGACTTGACACTTTTTAGAGCCAACTTTTTACAAGAGATCTTCACAATGAAATCGATCGGTTTCCATCCATATCTACTCTCGATTCTGGGATGCTCCTCTAGTCTTGACAATCCGTCCATTTTGACCGAATTCTGTGCTTTTGGCAATCTGCACACGCAGCTGGTCAGCATCAAGCGAACCGACCATCAAGTATCTTTATAAAGTATTAGCTAGAAAGTACTAAAGTTTTATCAAGACGGAGTCTTAATTTTTCATTTCTATAATCAATCCTCGTTAATTGCGAATCTGGAAAAAACGTTTATTATTAACCTTTCATTCGTTTATATCATCGAGGTTTGACTGTAGATATTTGTTTTCATATGAGCATCTTCTGTTATCCATACGTTTCAGATTGCAACCAATGTAATTTTCGTTGAGGATCTTTATCGAATCGCCTGGGAGGTGGCGAGTGCACTGGTTAGGCGCTGCTTTGAATTTTCATTTTCTCGAAGTTTCAGTTTCTAGATCCTTTTTTAGTAGCAAAAATTTCACTGCACATTCCAGGAGTTCCTCGCCTCCAAAAATGTCCTCCATCGTGATGTGGCGGCCCGCAATATTCTGCTTACTTTGCAAAAAACATCTAAGGTTGTGATCGGGATTTGCAATAAACTAAACATTAAAAATGACTAAAAAATTTAGCCATTTCATATGCATCGACATTATAACCGATTTAGCTGTCCGACTTCGGGCTGAGTCGTAGCTCAAATGAGGCGCTCTACACTTCGCATGGCGGCTGTCTCCCCATCAAATGGACGGCTCTTGAGGCAATCGAGTTCGGTATATTTACCGAGAAAGCTGATGTGTAAGCTTCAGAGATGTCACCGTAAAGTTCTTAATAACTCTTGAGTATGAATATAAATAATGAATAATAAAAATAATAGTAATGAAAAGTTCACAACATTCGGTGATTTCACAGAAAAAGCTCTTTCAGCTGGTCATTTGGGGTTCTTCTCTGGGAAATGTTCTCTTTCGGTGACACGCCCTACGAGGATCTGGAGCCATCAAGACTGCTCGGCGAGCTGCAGAAAGGCTTTCGATTGATACCCCCGCACCGGACACCGACACAAATGTGAGACCTATTCAAGGGATAATTCTAATCTTCAGTTCTTATCTATTTACAAATAACTTTCCAGTTCGGAAGTGATGACTTCTTGTTGGAAAACCCGTCTCACAAACCGACCCACCTTCCAGGCGATCACCCAAAAACTTTCGAGCTTCAACGAAAGCCAATTACTGACAAAGGGTTGCTGAGTGTGTGTATGTCTTGTTTTTTATATTCTTACTGTTGTAATTTGTTTAGGGATGGGTGAATAAATCTGGTTCATATCATGAAATATTTCAAGTACATTTTAAAAAGACTTTATTAGGAACCAAAATCAAGCATCAAATCGGCGCTAAAATAGCAGTCAAAATTCTTGGAAACTAAAATATAGTGGATGATCGATAATCGTTCCAACAAATCGGGAAAATTGTTTGCTAATTGAAAGCCATGATAATGTGGTAGTCTCCGTTGGGACCGGAAATTTTAAGGTGCGCTAAAATCACGGAAACATCTTTTCAGCAGATTTCATGCCAAACGTCGCAATCAATTCAAAAGCCTAAGTGTTATATAGAGAATTGAAGCCTGAATTCTTGTCTACATTTCTGTACCAAAAGATCTTTGATTGGAGTTTTATAGTCCATTTTTCAGGCCCTCAAATGAGCCCAATCCGACCAGTCACGCTTCCATTCTCAGCTGTTTTCAAACTACAAAACTTGTATGTAGTAAAAGCACAATTTTATTCATTCCTTTTTTACAAGTAATTTCTTGAAGTCGACTTGTAAATAGTAGAATAAAGTGTTCTTGAATTCGTGGATTTGGTTTTTGCGAAATCCGAGTTCAAATCGTTCCGAAGACTTTTTTTTGCCAACTCAATATTTATCACTATTATTTATTGTCAGCTAAGTTGTAGACTAGACATGAGAAAATTCCAGCCCCAACCTAATTTCACTTTCATTTTCTTGACTGATTTTTGACTGATTTTAGGGGAAAGCTGCACTTATTTTCTACGAGTAATTTCTTGGAGTCGACTCGTAAATAATGGAACAAAGTCCTCTTGAGTAACGTACATTCCAACATTTAAATTCAGTGTTGAAAACTTGCCCAAACTGCTAATTCTTTTAACTGCCTTTCTTGTGCTACCAAATTTTTTCAAAAATGAAGACGATGGCCGATTGATCCTACTGGATCATCCTAGAAATTACAAAGCTAACGAAATGATTTCCTGTTTTGATTTCAAACTAGATTTCTTTCATGTACTAGCTGCAGAAATCGCAGAGCACTTGATGGCGATTCCTTTGATGACTTTGAATTTTCTCAAACTGGAAGTTGGAAGCTGGAAGTTGGAAGAATTGAAAGTTGGAAGAAGAAAGAAGAATGAAATCGTCGATTGGAACGGTGTTTCGATTGCATATTCCATTATCAGAGAGGGAACATGAAAACAAAGCTTGGCCAAACAATTTTAGTTTAGTTTTTTGGTTCTTTTGTGTCGCTTGGTGTCTCTTGAAATTTTCCAAAAACACAGCTGCAAAAACACATTTTATTCAAACAAGTTTGTTTAGTTCTTTCGATTTGAAATGGCAAGATTGCATATGTATTTGTCTTGGGCCCGGTTTCACCAACGTCTTCACTTGCAAGTTTTTGGCCAAAACTTGCAAGTGGGGGTCAAGTGCGCAAGTTTTTGCGAAAAGTGACTTTCACCAACGTCCACTTGCAAGTGCGCAAGTGGCAAGTGGGTTTCACAAGCGTCCACTTGGACCTTACTTGCAAGTGGCTCACTAGCCAAACTTGCAAGTTTTGCCAAATAGGTCACTTACGACGGATATGGCTGTGTAAAGCGTCAGTATTTCAAAAACTAACACAAAAACATCTAAACCCAAGTTGATTTTTGAGATTCTCATGATCGAATGCCCCATATAATCGAAAATCGAATGTGTGCCCCTGCCCCCCCCCCTTTGTGACTTTGTGAATCAGCTTAAGCAAATTATAAGCACACATAGTGCCAGAGAGTACAGCGGCGGTGTTAAAAAGTTAATTGTTGAAGAGTTGTTTTTAGCAAGGCCTCAAATAACTTTAAAAAACAATTCTAATCTTGAAGGCATGCTATATTTTTTTCAATAAAACAATCCCCAATTTTGATAAAACATTTTTTGTTTGTCAAAACTTATACGAAAAAGCTTTGAATGCTTTTCTGAAAACCCCCTTGTCCAGGAAAAGACCGGGAATTACCAACATAAGCCGACCGATTTTCCTTGAGAGCCGAAAGTGACGCGTCATACGTTTCTTACCTTTTCAGTACTTCGAAAGAAAAAAAATCAGCTAGGACAGCAAATGTTGCTCGTTTATGTGAAACTATTGATTTTCCCCCTGATTTCGTCCCAATTCTGTCCAATCACGCTCTCACGAACGGCCCCGATCGCCTCGGTGTCGAGACAGGAAATTTTTCCCGGCTTAAATTGGACAGTTTTCAAGGTTCGCGCAAAGGTTATTTGCAAGTAAAATGGCCATGACACTTGTGTTCTTTTTCAAAAACGAATGGCCGAATGAGCTTAACTCTTTCGAACTTTTAGCCATGTAACGTGTTGTCTGTTGACTGTAGTCAATGTACAATCACCATGTACGTCTCTGAGCTCGTCGTTCTGTCGCAAGATGGTTGTAGGCACGAATTTCAACTCTATGTCAACAACGCGGATTGGACGAGCAGGAACGAGACAGTTATGAGGTTGTTTCAGTGCAACTAGCACTCGTTTATACTAGACATGGGAAAATTCGAAGCGAAACCTAAATTCCACCTTCGCTTTCTTGGCCGATTGCTCTGAAATTTTGTCTACAAGCTGAAAATTTCGAGATTTCTATCTAGACAAATTCAGCGCAATCGGCCAAGAATCGGCCAAGAAAACGAAGGTGAAATTAGGCTCGGGCTGGAATTTTCCCATGACTACTCTAGAACTTAGCTGACAATAAATAATAGTAATAATTATTGGGTTGGCAAAAAAGTCTTTGGAACAATTTGAACTGGAAATCTGTTAAAAACAAATCCACTGATTGAATTCAAGAACACTTTGTTATACTACTTACAAGTCGACTCCAAGAAGTTACTCGTAAAAAATAAGCGCAGCTTTCTCCTAAAATTTTAGAGATCTATGAAAAAGTAAAATTCTCCTGCTTAACTTCAGCTCACTTTTCTCTATTAGATAAAACTTGGTTTAATTGCAAATTTTTGCTGTTTTAAGTACTTGCTTTTAGGTTTTGACTGTGATCGATTACCTATCCATTAAAACCCATTAAAAACTCGTCTTAAAGCTGTTCACTCAAAAAGTTTATCAAAAAAGATTTGAGAAAAATGGATGGCTTGGTTTTTGAGACATCACCGTCCAAACTTTTTCTACAAACTTTCTTGCCAACCTAATATTTGATAATGAAAGCCCTTATCTCACAGGAATCACGACGGGAAATCCCCGTTCTGCGTGGTCAACTATCGGCTCTTCAGTTTACCCGCCATCTTCACGCTCGCCTATCACACCCTTGATAATTTCTTTCCGATCGCCGACGCGTTTTATATTTTTCATTTGAATGTGTTTGAAGACGGTTTGTTTAGCTGAAAACAATTTCCCCGTTTGTCTGAATTCAGAAATTATATCTCAGAGAAAGATGTTTCTTGGAAAGATTCACGTTATCTCACCGCCAACCATTTTAGCGGATATTAGGCTATAACAAAGCAAAACAAAGACTAAAAACAAAACAATTCCCTTATTATCACACCAAACCTCCATTCAGCCCCAGTCATCGTCCCAGTCTCGATCTACCCGTTTCCAACAAGTGGCAATGAATATATTTCGCTTGACTTTTCCCAACCGAAATCACCGGAGCAACCATATTTTGTGATGTTGGGCGACAACATGAACGGATCGATCGTCGCCGGGACAATTGAATGGGTAAATAAGCTGACAAGGCTCATTGAAGTTTCATTAGACATTGTAGTAAATCCGGTGGTACCCTAAAGGGTGACCACCAATTCCAGCAACTCACTTCTCAGGGTCTCATAACTTTTGAAGTCGCAGGTTATGAAGAAATACTACGGCTTTCTGGTAGGGAAAACCGCAAGTCGATTGCTTGATATTCATCTCTAAATGAAACTTTCAAACAAGGTATGTAACAACCTAAGAGTTGATAAAACTTTGTGGACCTCCTTTGAGACGGATTCATTGAGTTCTCGCTGAGCTATTCCCTCAGAAGTGAGTCACTATAATTGGCGGTCATCCTGTAGTAAAACTGGGTGTTCTGTTATTTCCATTTTATGAGTTCAAATCTGACTGTAGGAAACGATTGACCACGACTGCGCGTTGACCGTCTATTTGGGTACCACAATCGACACAAATCAGGAGCCATGGTTGACGATGAATAGGTTTATTCAGTAAGCACTTGGGGATTGTTTTCTAAACTTCAGTTGTGAAATATCGCAACGTTCCAACGTTCGTTGGCCGGCCACGATCCAGCAGCTCACTTTTCGCGTCTCGAGTGGCCGATGTGCCTTTTGGATGACAATAATGACTGAGGTTTGATGCAAGAAAAACGATACTGTTAACGCATTAAATGATTGTAGGACTCTGATGACTCTTTCCCAAGAGCCGGCCATCAATTCTTTGCACAAACGACACCCAATCCCGCATGTGTTCCGACGACGGAGATGTCTAGTCAAAAGCTTGAGAAAGTCTGTTAAGCTACCATAACCTATTCATGAACATTAGAAGCTAATGAAATACTTACAGCAAACGATAATAGAAATGATTCCTAGTCTCAAATCTTTTAAGAATTCAAAACGAAAGACACCATAAATACTGTAATATTAGGTTGTCCGGAATGAAAATACCCTTTTAATGAAAAACAAATCTAGCTCTACAAAAAGAAAAAAAGGCGTTGTAATCCAAAAGATATTCTCCATTGTTGGCAATAGTCTTTCTCCATTTTTCTTCCAAATCTCGGATCCCTTTGCTGAAGCAATCCTGAAGCTGCGAGTCAAAGTATTGGTTTACCCAAATTCGGACTTCGTCGTGATCCTTGAAATGTTTATCGGTCAGGAAGTGCTTCATAGATCGAAATAAGCGGTAGTCTGAGGGTGCCAGATCTGGGCTATACGGCGGCTGCGGGAGACATTCCCAATTCAATTCCTCGAGTTTTTCTTGCGTCATCTTTGCTGTGTGTGAGCGCGCGTAATCTTGCAGATATCTCACAGTCGATGCGTTTACACCTTGATTCTTGAGAGCCTGGTCTAAAAGTTCCAGCTGTTGCACATATAGATCTGAGGTAACTGTTGGACGAGAATGTAGAACCTCAAAGTGTATCAGATCACGGGAATTCCACCAAACAGATAACATGGCCTTTCTTCCATCCGGATCACGTTGTGGCGTCGTTTTTTGACTGTTCTCCTGGACTTAACCACTTCTGTTTTCGCGATGGGTTATCGTAGTAAATCCATTTTTCATCGGCCGTCACAATAGTGTCCCAAAAACCTTGATTTTTTGATAGATGAAGAAGAATACCGGTCATAGTCGCTCGAGTAGCTTTATTAGCGTCACTAAGTTGATGAGATAGCCATTCTCCCACGAGATTCGCTTTACCCAAACGGTGTAAATGGTCCACAGTTGTTGTGTGGCCTACAGCAAACATTTTTGCAAGTTCCCGAGTGGACAAGGTTGGGTCATCTTCTATGGCTTCTCGAAGATCGTCATCGTTGAGCGCTGGAGGGCGGTGACCACGTCCTCGATCCTGTAGAGTTTCGTCTCCCTCTCTAAATCGTTGAAACCGTTTTTACAAGCTTCCTCAAAATAAGCAGCTTCTCCAAAAAATTTCAAGATTGAACTATGGCTCTCCCGGACACTTTTTCCTTCTTTAAAGTCGTAGAGCAAGCACACCCGAATTCGCTACTTCTGATCTTCCATTCGAAAAAAGCCAAAATGGTAAGGCAGTGAATTTTTATAAAAACATAGAGTTAGAAAAGATATATAACTTTAAAACAATTTGCAAACGGTTAAAAGATTTAAAGAGCTTATTATCTCTAATTTTAACATTACAAGAAGATGGATTTAACAATTTATCAGGTGTCATGAACTTTTTAATAAAACAAAAGTTGGGCCAAAAATTGATGGACAAAAGTCTTTTAACATGTGAGAAAAACATTATGAAATCAATACTTAGTAGGTCCTCCGCGAGCCGCCATTACTGCTTGAATTCTCCTTGGCATGCTGTCAACCAGATCACGTAGAATTTGGGGTCCAATAGTTGTCCAGACTCGACGGATGAAGTACCAAAGCTCCACTTTTGATCCGAATAGTTTCCCTTCAATTTCGACTTCACAAACTTCACAATCGTTCGGCCAATCTTGATGATTTTGATGTCATTTTGTTGCACTTATTGAGATCTACAAAATGAAACCAAAATCATAAAGATTGGTTCACTTAGAAAAAAGTTATGGTGAGTTGCGCAAATAACACGGCGTCCCATCCGCAGCTGTGACTTGTGGCACGGGGCATTGTCCTGGTAAAACAACCAACCTTGGCCCATATTTGTGGTCGAAAACGGTAAAAGATCAATCCACCGTGAATCAGGCGTCGACTCACTGTTTTTCGAGAAATTTCTTTGTTAAATTTTTGATTCACCATAGCCACGCCATCAGAGGCATATTTACGCAATTGCAAAAATCAGAGGCATATTTACGCAGAAAACAAATGCAAATTGCTCGGATTTGGACCAAGATATACGAAGAACAAACTTCTAAAAACCAATGTTAAAAGACTTTGGTCCATGACTGTATATCCCGATGCGGCGTGGTGCGTAGTCTGGCTTTGAACGCATTTTTCACGACACTGGTTTACGCTACAAAGTGCGCTTAGGTATCAAATCATAGCTGAAATTCAGGGCTATTTTTTGATACCAAAGATACATTTTTGGAAGTACGGGTGCTTTGAAACAAATGAAATACTAGAAAAACTTTGCGACTACGCGACTGCACGAGAGGGGTGGGATACTATTACAGTATTTACGGTAAATACAGTGTTATACTTATGCATTTCAGGTTACCACCACAATTCCACTGGAAACTTCGAAAAACTTCAACAAATTGTGGTTGCTGTGTGTTCCAGTGCTGATTCTTGTATTTGTTTTCGTGCTTCTTGGCATCATGTTGCGTCGCCGAAAGGCTCGGTTTGTAAAAAACTCAGCACAGAACTTGTCTTTTGTGAGAATCGCCATGCCACGCCATTGGGCTATGGATTTCTTACGTTTTACTTAGAGTGAGTCTAGATTGAATCGCCGAAAGAAGCACTTCCTGCAAGAGCTCTTGCAATTCCCACAACTAAATGCCATAAAAAAGGCGGAGATCAGAGACGATTGGGAGATCTTTGTTCCGCTGTTGGTGTTGGGAGAAAGGATTGGCAGTGGGATCTCCTCCGATGTCTTCAGTGGGATCTTTCACGGGAAACTCCCATGCACTCTCGTTAACCCGATGCTGACGGTGAAATGAAAAAAAGGAACTGATTGAAGGACTATCGCTTTTTAGACTCTCTTTCCGCCATCATCGATCGGATACACGGTGGCCGTCAAAGTACCCGCTGTCGAGAAGGAGAGGTGAGCTCATTTTGTTCATTTTTGTTCATTTTTCGAGATGATAAGCAAAAAATCATGTATGAACCCCCTTAAAATCAACTTTTTAACACATAGACGACGGCATGACGCAATGCTGAGTCACGGATGTTTCTCGTGAATGGCTGAACCAAATGAGCTCAAATTTCCTGTAATTTCGGGTCTTCTTTCCGAATCCGATGTTAGTTTTATCGGGGCTTTTACGTGGTGTGTTTTTTTCGTATCGCTCGTAGGAAAAAACGGTGTCTGGCACATTGCTTTGGATATGGGGTGGGAATTGGATAAGCAAGATCGCGTTTTTCTAAGGTGACCAATAATTTTTGAAGCCTCAAAACAATTCCAGAGGGAATTCTGACCAAAAACTATAGAGTATACATTTATGGAGAACTATTAGAAACTAGAAACTAAAAATAAAATATTCAAACTTTGAAAATAAATGAAAATAATGGAGTTTGTTGGTCTAAATTTACAGCCGGCTTCAAATTCTAGATTCTTTTAAGCCCTCATGTGCTAAGTTAACTTAAAACAAAAGAATCTCTTTTTCTGTGATTTGGCTATTCATGTTAATCCCTTTTCCAAAGGGTCCAAAGTTTCGCAAAATACGCTCTAGTGTTAAGGAGTTCTTTTCGCCATCGGATAGGATTTGAAAAGCTCTATCCAACCAAGTGAAAAGATTGTGACTATTAGTTGTCTGGCAATAAGACTACTTGCTCTCGGTGAGCGGAGATATTTGAAACCTTTGTGCACGGGTTGTTTTTTTACTAGTCAGATAAAAACTACAGCACTCGATCCAGAATCTTTTCCGACTCCTCCGGGTTGTGTTCTTGTATTCCGAACACAATTTCTCTTTGGTTTTCTAGTGATCTGGCCGTTAAGCAGTTGGCCGTCAAATTTCTTGGGTCGCCTGTTAACGCCCACGAATCGAATTCTCCCAAGTTTTTCCTAGAAATCTCAAAAAAAAGCTTTAAGAGAAAAAATTCTCCACGAGATTACCTTGATGAAATCCGTGGGCTATCATCCGTATCTGCTCTCGTTGTTGGGTTGTTCGACAAAGCCGGATAATCCGTTGATTATCACCGAGTTATGTGAGCTCGGCAGTTTGTACTCGTTGTTGAAGGAGTTGAATTCATTCGAGAATCATGTATGAGATGGAAAAATTAAAACAAAAGAATCTCTTTTTTCAGATTAATAGCCATTTCGTGTTGCACGAGCGCGATTTGGCGCCGATCCTTTGGCAAGTGGCGAGCGCTTTGGTAAAAAACACATAGGGGCACATTCATAAGATTATTATATTTAAAAGATTAGTTTTTTTTAAAATCTCGATTTTTTTTCGCAATTCCTCTCCTCCAAAGAAATCGTTCATCGAGACGTGGCCGCCAGAAATATTCTTCTCACCATCAACAAAGTGGCCAAAGTTGGTAGAGTCAAAGTTAATCTAACGTATTTTCTCTAATGGTTGTAACAAAAAAATGATGAGGCTTCGCCCTTTCACCTGAGCGATAAAAAGTTGCAGTGATTTGCGAGTTTTCTAAAAACATCTCGGATACTTTGCCATAAGCTGCATATTCCATCGACACAACTTTGGAAATAAATCAAATTGATTTACGCATCAATCTATTTTGCAGTTTTTCGCTTTTATTCGCGATGAGTGAATGAAATTCAATTTGGTTTGTTTCCAAAGTGGAATATGCATTGGCATGTTATGGCAAAGTTTCAGAGATTTAGTTGAAAACTCGCAAATCACTGCAACTTTTTATCGCTCAGGTGAAAGGGCGAGGCCTCATCATTTTTTTGTCAGTGTCATGTCAGTACGATTAGGGTAAAAACGGTATTCAGCGTCGTTAGGATTGACTTTTCGAAGGCTCTTGGAAAGCCGGCTTTTGAGTTTCACGTAGTAACTCTATTTAAAGTCAATAAAGTTGACCTTAATCTCTATTCATTCACAGCTTTGTGACTTCGGACTGAGTCGATCTTATGGGGATCGCTTGTTTTACCAATCCGTCCAGGGACAATTCCCCATCAAATGGACGGCGCCCGAGGCGATGGATCTACAGATTTTTACCGAGAAATCTGATATGT